CCAGCCAATGAGGATGAACATCCACTTGCGCAGCCGGTCGGTGGAGTACGTGAGCACGATGGCCGTGTGCAGGTAGCAGCCCTCCCCAAACATCCAGAAGAAGTTGGTCACATGGAAGTAGTTGTAGGCGGCTGTCACCAACCTGCACCAGCCCTGCCACCCCGCCCCCACCAGATATGACAGTGAGCGGGGTGGGGTGGGGGGGACAGGTGGGGGCAGCACCCGCATCCCACCCTGGGCCTGGGGCCTCCCCTGGGCAGGATGGGCCACTTCTGTTCTGTGGGCCCCAAGGCCTGGCTCTGGCCCTGCCCCTCCCCCTCCAGGACAGCCCCACCCGGACCCCTCCTCTGACCCCGGGCCTGCGCCTCCAGACATACCATGTTGCTCTGGTGGACTTCGGGGCTCATGGTGAGCTGGACCACGAACCACGTGGCATTGCGCAGGATGAAGGCCGAGATGAGGTTCCAGTGGATGATGTTTCTGAGGCAGCGGATGCTCCTAGGGGCAGCAGGGGAGGTGGGTGTTGGGAGCAAGGGGCGGGGAGAGAGGAGGAGGGATAGGCCGAAAGCACCACTCCAGCCCAGATATATGGGTGGGGAAACTGAGCCTCAGAGTGGGGCTGACTGGCTAAGTCACACATGGCCCTTTCTACCTGTGACCCGCCCAGACCTAAGCTCTGGGGGCAGAATCTGCCACAGCCAGTGCTCCAGGACCAGGGGCTGCCCTTCTCCCATGGACACGCCTCCCCTCCCTGTGGTTCCAGGTTCGAGGGTCAGAAAACACACAGGCCTCCAGTGGGACGTCTCCCTGCTGCTCTCAGCCTGATGCTTTGGCTGTCCCCCCGCCCCCTCCCTGCCCCTGGCAGTTACTAGGCAAGAGGGCAGAAGTGGCCCTGTCTGAGGTGTCCAGAGACCTGGGACTCTACAGCTGTCACCCCCTCCCACGGAGGTGAGGGGCGGGACTCCCCTGCCCAGCAGCCCCTGCACCTGACTTCTCCCCCTGCTCAAGGCCCAGGGACAGTGCCAGGGACTGCTCACCTGAGCCGCAGAAAGAGGACAAAGGCCACCAGGAGGGCCACCAGGGAGACGCAGTGGCCCAGGTAGTTGATGATGATAGCGACATGGTAGTGCACCTTGTTCTTCTTCTGAGGCCAGAGAGAGGGCAGAGGTGAGGCTCCCGCACAGCCCCACCCCTGCGCCCACTGGCCGTGTGAGCAAAGACCCAACGGTGGCTGGGGACAGAGTGGGCGATGCTAATAGTAGTCACCCCCTCCCTGAGCCCCATGTGCCTCACGTTGTCCTGGAGCAGCACTGTGTAATTTGGGACTGTGTCTCCCTGTCTGTCTGTCCCTGAATCCCACTCTCTGTCCCCTGCTCCGTGCTGTTGGACGAATGTCTGTTAACTTGACTCTCCACATCACACAGGGACCCCATTCTGCATGCACAGACGCGTGTGCATGGCTCACAGGGGTGCTCACACATTTCCATTCAGGTCAAACTCTCTGGCCCCAGGGGGTGCAGACACCAACTCTCCAGGACTTCCTTCCTCCCCCCACTTCTGCGTGGAGCCACCACCTCCTCCATCACCCCTCACTCCCTCCTGCTGTAGCTGAAGCCTGCCTCCGTCAGCGACGGGGAGAGTGGCTGTGGATTAGCATCCACAGAATCGGTAGAAACCACAGAACCCCTCTCAGGTTCTATAATTCCCTGTCTAGGTCCCACCCCTGCACGAAGTGAAGGGGATCCTGTCCCAGGACTAGAACAAAGTCCCCAACGTTACAACTTCATTCATTTCATATATCGATGGTCCTGAGGGATCAAGTCCAGCCCCATCCATCTTTCAGATGAGAAAACTGAGACCCACACTCACTCACCCAAGGGACGTGCCTCTGCAGTGGGCCATCTAGCAGCTATCCGATGGCGCCCTCCCTCCCTCCCTCCCTCCCTCTCCCTCTCCCTGGCCCTGCCCCACCCCTGCTGAAGGGGCAGCCTCACTGCAGGGCCTCTGAGGTCCCAGGCCCTGGTGCTCAGTGGCTCTGCTCTAGGGGCTGGTTTCCCTGGCAGAAGCTCTCAGGAACCTGGCAGGAAGTCACATTAGCAACTCAGGCTCGGAGGGGCTGAGACCCAGCGAGGTGTAAATGGAGGCAGGCCAGAGAGACAGAGCGAGAGGAAGGGGGCCGTGCACATGGGGAGGGCCTCTGAGCACCTGGCAGCAGATGCCAAATCTGGAGACTCTATGCACACGTCCAGCCTGGCACTTAATTACTTTTATTAAATTCTCCACAAGTCCGCACGGTGAAGCCCCTGGGTAATAACCACGTGTGGGAGCCCTGGCCCAGGTGAGTGATGAGCACAGTGTGCAGGGAGCCCTTCCACCACCACCTGCTGTCAGCTCCCCCCCCCCAACCCCCCAGCAGGCCGTGCCAGGGTGGTTTGGGGTGAGATGAATCATGTATTAAGTACCTACTGTATGCTGGACACGGAGTCAGGAACTCTACAGATGTCACTGCTTTTCTTTCTCATAACTGCCCTCTGAGACTGTCCTTCTGTCCCTGTTTTTCCAGTTGAAGAGGCTGCATCATCAGCCCAAGCCACCCAGCCAGCAGTCACATTCCAGGACTGCTGGGTCTTAAAGACCCTGCTTCCCCTGTCCCCACGGTGCACTTCTTGGGGGACAGGCAAAGACGGAGAACAGAGGCACTCTCCCTGTCCCGGGCTTCTGTAGGGAGGATGGGGACTCATGAGGCTGAAAGGGGAGAATTGGACCAAACCATTCCAGGGCTGCCCCTGCGTGGCTCCTTGGATTAGAGGCCCAGGCTGGGTTCCAGCCCTGTCTCAGCTGCCACATCAGCCTGAAGCCAGTGCTCCAGGACCAGGGGCTGCCCTTCTCCCATGGGCACTCCTCCCCTCCCTTTGGTTCCAGATTCGAGGGTCAGAAAACACACAGGCCTCCAGTGGGAAGTCTCCCTGCTGCTCTCAGCCTGATGCTTTGGCCGTCCCCCCGCCCCCTCCCCGCCCCTGGCAGTTACTAGGCAAGAGGGCAGAAGTGGCCCTGTCCGAGGTTTCCAGAGGGGACTCTACCTACAGCTGTTACCCCCTCCCACGGAGGTGAGGGGCAGGACTCCCCTGCCCAGCAGCCCCTGCACCTGACTTCTCCCCCTGCTCAAGGCCCAGGGACAGTGCCAGGGACTGCTCACCTGAGCCGCAGAAAGAGGACAAAGGCCACCAGGAGGGCCACCAGGGAGACGCAGTGGCCCAGGTAGTTGATGATGATAGCGACATGGTAGTGCACCTTGTTCTTCTTCTGAGGCCAGAGAGAGGGCAGAGGTGAGGCTCCCGCACAGCCCCACCCCTGCGCCCACTGGCCGTGTGAGCAAAGACCCAACGGTGGCTGGGGACAGAGTGGGCGATGCTAATAGTAGTCACCCCCTCCCTGAGCCCCATGTGCCTCACGTTGTCCTGGAGCAGCACTGTGTAATTTGGGACTGTGTCTCCCTGTCTGTCTGTCCCTGAATCCCAC